CCGCCGCTGTGAAGGCTCCACAGTGCGAGCTCATTTTGTGAGGAAAGAACAAGACAATCAGAGGTTCGATATTAGGTTATTTTCTGGAGTAAAAGGCGGTTTGCGACTTTCCTATATGGGGTTTTAGCATTTGTGCACAATGCGTCCGTTGGCAGCCAGCATTATCATTCTGTTGTGTTTTTTCCTTTAGGTGTTCTTGTACTCTTGTAGGGTTCCAGTGGCTCTTTGAAAAAGTCCCAAAACGCATTGAATTAATTCAAAATATAGCCTCAATTTGCAATAAAATGTCTCTCAAAAGTCTTTAAAATGTTAAGTAGGATTCTATGACTGGTTGTTTTCCCCAGAGATATAATCTTTTAAAATAATTATCCAAATTACCCTCTCATTAATGTCACTCAGTTAAGGATAGAAAACCCATCAACTGTCTGCTCGCTAACAACGTTATGGCGGAAAGACTGATCATCAAACAATTTAGTGAAATGGTTCTAAACTCTAGGTAACTGGGGTCGTTTCTCTTTTTTATATTCATTGAGTGGCATTCATTCTTTAAAAAGTCTTAAATGTATCTTGCCTTAAACTGTAGGAACCCTTTCTTTTTTATTTGTGTGAATAATGAACATAATTGTTTCAGTGTGAACATACTTCTAGAAATTGGTTCCGAAACAAGCATTCAGGAGTGACATGTTCACTATGAATGGATTGAAACAGACAGTTGCACAAGTTCTTAAGATATCGTAGTATACTCGTCCCCATGTGCCATTCTCCAAAGCCCTTTATCCTTTCTCACACAATTCCTCAACAGAGGAAATCCCAGGCTGTGAACCGCGGTCGCGAGGATCACAGCTGCCAGAGATCAGGATATCTTTATATCTGAGGCAGCTCCGTGTAGCTTGCTGAAATGTGCCGAGCATATATCCTCCGCAGACGCTTGCAAAGGCCAGTCTGGGCCAGGCTCAGGTTTAATTGGTTCCTTGCGCTCACTCTTGTATGCATGTTCCTTAACCTCGCCATGCTCAGAGTTCATCGTCGTGTCAGACGGTGGGATGCACAGAGGGTGACTTTTAGAGGATGTCTTTGACAAGCAACAAGAGAGCAAACCCTGCGCCGTGTTGGTTAAGCATCAGTTCAAAAAAGTTGACATAAGGTCATGTCGACAACTCTTTGATTCACCTGTAGTCTGTCCTTGTGTGTGCCAGATGGTGCATACAATATTTATGGGTGTTTAGAAGCAACATATTTCACATTTAGACGTTACAAATATGGTGAGTTCCCGCTGGATATTCTGGTTTCCTCTGTAGTCTTGAGTAAGTGTGAATGGTTCTATCTCTACATGTATTCCACCCTTACCCTATTACACAATGTGATTAAGCTTCACCAGAGTTAATATTATGCTTTCCATCTTTTCTTAAATAATCAGTGTTTCCATGTCAACACATACATGTCATTAAAAAAGTGTGATTTTTAAGTGTTCAAAACCCTTTCACCGTATATTTTACTATGGCTTTAGCTTTGTATTAATAGGTTAGGGCTTGTAGTATTCTCCAAATGAAATAGATGTTCCTGAGTCCACAGCTTTCAAACTGATATTGAAGAAAGAGCTGAGGGAATTGTGTGAATGCTGTAACATTCCAACCTTTTGTTAAGAGATTTTTCCAATTAAATGTGTTTATTTTATTGTTAAACCTTGCCGAGATCTGAAGATGAAGAATCCCAGCATTTGTAGGCTAAGAGTTTTTAAATGTAGCATCACATAAAACTGTTGACTACTTGCATGTGGTTGTGTTTTTGTGTGCAGTGAACAAGAATGTGCAAAAGTTCCAACAAGTTTGTCTGGACTCTCAGTGCACACTGCAACAAAGCCAAACACAGCGTTTCTTTTGATCGGAAACCTGTGATTTGGGTGTGTGAACATGCCACATTCAGTCGTAGCATGCCAGCTAACCATTGCGACAGAAAAACCCAATGATTTGTGAATAGATTGTAATTTGTGGGTTGTATCCTAAACTCATTTAGAGCCACTTACAAGAAGACAGTGGGTGATGGATTACTTGGTGCCATACCCTTTAGTCCCGAGGTTACGCTAACAATAGTGTGGCTAACGCAATAAGCTGTTTTCTTTGTGTATTGGTTGTAGAGAAAGTGTTGTTAATCTTACCAGGGGCAGATGGTTGAGTTTGGACGCATGCTGTGTCCTTTCATGGCAGCTCTCGGCTCTGATATGGTTCTCCTGTTACTCCACGCAGAGCTCCTCATGGCTTCGGATTACACTTAAGGCCTCGAACACTCAAAACTCCCACGCAAGTGTCTAAAATTCAATGGCTAATGGAAATTAGCCATGCACAGACGTGGCTTCGTTGATGGTAGTATTTGCCAGCCGCACTTGGTATGTCATTGACCCTTATCTCCAACCAAGAAACTCTGGCTGTGAAAGTAAATTGGTAATGTGTAAAATGAGTAGGAGCCCTGTTAAAATACTTGTTAGAGCAAGAAACATTGGTTTGTTTGACTGGATCTGCCATCTGTTGCATTGGCTGATAAGAGAAGGCCTGTAAAGACAGTAAGAATAAAAGCTGAAATGTATTAGACGCAGATGTTATAAATAAAGTAGTTCTCCACTTATATTCTAGTCATTCAATATTATAAAGAATGCCTTGATTTCTCCAAAAGCAAACAATATGATGTGTTTAAACTCTACACGGTAACAATTAGAGAAGTTCAATAATGTAGTCTCGTGAAATGTTGTATTTGGCAAGAATTTTAAATAGTAATTGATGTTTCAACAGCAATATTTAATGGATATAAGAGAGGAAACTAAGACCTGTTTAACTTCCTAACTCTAGATCTAAACACCCTTTGTAATGCATTATATCATCTACTAATGTACATATTTATTTAATCAGGGCCCGTATTAATATCATTAAAAGGTACGAAGCTGGAGACTTGTAATATATGGCTCATTTGCTAGGGATGCTCCGATCGCCAATTTTGGGGTTGATGGAGTGGGCGGGGCCTATGGGGATCTTCCATTTAAAGTGACGTTTAAAACTCAGTTAATGGGGCTCATTCACTGGCGCTAACACAAACAACATAAGTAGCTAAGTAGCTAAGTGTGTTAGGTCTAACTCTTGTGTGTGTTGCTCCGCTCACCGGTCCGTCTCAGCGGGCGGAGCTGCAGGGTTTCTGCTTCACACGTTGCTATTTTACTGTCTTTTTCAGACACATTCAAATACTGCCAGACCGGTGAAGCCATGTTGGCGAGCTTGTTTTGCCGCGCACAGAGAAAAGTGTCATGTATTTGACGTCATGTGATCGGCTCTCCTAATCGGCCTTTATAGAGAGCACCGACCGATCGGCAGAGAGTGAATATCAGCCGGTCGATCGGAGCATCCCTTTCATTTGCAATCTGTATCGGCAGCAAACAAGGTGTGGGAATCTTTAAATGAGGCCTATAAGTTATTCTGGCATATTTTCAACAGTATGCGATTTAAAGTTGTTCCTGGATTCTTCTTAGCAGCACATTTTAATTCAGTGACTCAGTTTACATCATGTAAAACATTCTGCGCAGTTCAAGAGTCAAACTGTGACTCATGGTCGTGCTGCAGAGTTAGTTAAAGCAACAGATTGTTTGCTGGAGAAACTTGCACATATTTCATCTATGATCCCATGTGCAACGGTATCGGTGTAAACTTTGGGACAGATTTCTTTTCAGACTAACTTTGTGACTTCTGCGAGTTGCAGTAAATAATAACAATGAGTCACTGGTGTAAAATGAGGGTTACCTGTGCAGGTCTCAAGATGCCAGAGAGCGCATACTTTGAAGTATAAATACACACTGAATCTGTGTACTCGCAGTGTATTGACACAGTAATGCTCTGGCTGATACTCTGCAAATCCTACACCATGCTTCTACCTGTGTGTGTGTGTGTGTGTGTGTGTGTGTGTGTGTGTGTGTGTGTGTGTGTGTGTGTGTGTGTGTGTGTGTGTGTGTGTGTGTGTGTGTGTGTGTGTGTGTGTGTGTGTGTGTGTGTGTGTGTGTGTGTGTGTGTGTGTGTGTGTGTGTGTGTGTGTGTGTGTGTGTGTGTGTGTGTGTGTGTGTGTGTGTGTGTGTGTGTGTGTGTGTGTGTGTGTGTGTGTGTTGTGTGTGTGTGTGTGTGTGTGTGTGTGTGTGTGTGTGGTGTGGTGGGTACTATGACAAATAAGAGATACGGTTGTAAAATAGGAGCTAAGAAATACCAGGGAAATAAATTGGAAGGTATTCAGTGAAAGGATTCGGGGAGATATGTGACACTGGCAGCCTGTTTTAAAATGTTTTTGGATAATTGCCAGAACATTTTGCACTCTTTAAATGTGCAGGCCTTAATTCCCATGACATGCCTCAGGACTAATAGAGATGTAGAGCACATTCGTAAGGGTGCACCAATTGATATATTCTGCAATGTAAAAGAACTGATTCTGAGAGAGAGTTAATTGGCAGTGATTATTTACAGAGTGATCTTTTGGTTTCTCTCTGCATCAGGTAGTGCGTTGGTACTTTAGTAGGCTGTGAATACTTTTCCAATTGCTGCGTATTAATGAAATACAGTTTCTGTCTACTTGTTGATGAATACATTTTTCACTTTGCGCTGCCAGTGTGAGTATGTAAAGGGACAGGATGTCATCTTCAATATCTGATAGTTGTATGGTTTAGTCCTCTGAAATATACTCGTGTTCCTCATCTGGAAATTAATTTTAAAAAAATGTGCTTTTGACCGCTTTTTTTTCAGTTTAGTTTCAGATCATTTGTATTCCAATTACACGACAGTATTCTTATTTATAGATGCCGTTCCATACAAAGAAGTGATTATTATGAAACATAGTTATTGTCTACTAGTTGACACATCAGATGTTCACGTTGCCGTGCCTGTGTGAACATGTCTCTGCGAGGAAAAATCAAGAAAACTATTTGGGAGAAGAAGTGTGCAGACAGTGTCAGTAACACCTGTTTCCTCCCCCTCCTCCAGGAGCACCATCTCCAGCGGGCCATCTCGGCGCAGCAGGTATACGGCGAGAAGCGGGACAACATGGTTATCCCCGTCCCCGAGGCGGAGCGCAACATCACGCACTACGATTCCCTTTACCCCGGGGAGTTCAAGATGCCAAAGCAGCTTATTCACATACAGCGTGAGTAGAGGAGGATTATCCCTTCAACTGTGTTTGTGGCCTGTGAGCACGTAGTGGTGTAGTCGCTGGATACGTCTGATTTCACAGGCTATAAGCTGCCGATTGAGAGATTTGTGTATTTAGCTTCAGCCCCAGTTGTGTAAGATCGCATGCTGAAAGACTAATAGAGTTGTCATGTATAGGGATGCATCGATTTCTTGGTCCATACTGACACTATATACTATATAACTATTTGGCTGATGTTGCTATTTCTTCAAAATGTTCATTTGTGCCAGGGAAAATTATACATTTTCATAATAACTTGAATTAAGAGCTTTTCAGCCCTTTTTTAAAAAGTGTTTCCCATCATCACACCCGCAAATTGGGTGACGTGCAGAAAAGTATTTTCAAGAAATGGGCAAAAATCTGCCAATTCATTCATTGGTGCATCACTCGTCATATAGACTAGATACAACAATTCCCCACCACATGGGGATAATCAAACTCAGCAGTGTTGCAGATTTCATATGGCATGTAACTATGGGGACAGGACATCTTATATCTGCAGTGTTTCCCCTACTATTGTAACAATATTAACATGAACCTTTCTGTTGGTCGCTTGCTAGCAGACCCTTCAGGGCCCATAGTGATAGCCCTATAGTTTAAATCTACTACCCACAAATAAACATATGGACATGGGTTGCTATTATTATAAAAAAATGGTAAATGTATTTAGAAACCTATCCATGTGATTTTTTTATTTTGGGGGTGGACCTCAAATCCTCTAGGGCGGTCCGGGGGCATGCTGTCCCGGTAAGATTTGTTTTTAATTGTTGTAGTTAAATGCATCAATCTGGTGCATTTTGAGGGGAAAATAAAGAGACTATATGAAACAGAACTCTATACATTTCAGTAATCATAAAATCATGGTCATAACCAACAACATACCATTTCCAATATGAAAAAAACACTGAAACTTGTTTATTTATTTATTTTTCGTTCATTTATAGTTGTGAGTGTGTCTGTGCTCCTGAATCAGCCTCTCCCTCCTCTCCCTCCTCTCCCTCCTCTCCCTCCTCTCCTCCTCTCCCACCTCTCCCTCCTCTCCCTCCTCTCCCTCCTCTCCCACCTCTCCCTCCTCTCCCTCCTCTCCCTCCTCTCCCTCCTCTCCCTCCTCTCCTCCTCTCCCTCCTCTCCCTCCTCTCCCTCCTCTCCCTCCTCTCCTCCTCTCCCTCCTCTCCCTCCTCCCCTCCTCTCCCTCCTCTCCCCCTGCTCCCTCCTCTCCTCCTCTCCTCCTCTCCCTCCTCTCCCTCCTCTCCTCCTCTCCCTCCTCTCCCCCTGCCTCCCTCCTCTCCTCCTCTCCCTCCTCTCCCTCCTCTCCTCCTCTCCTCCTCTCCCTCCTCTCCCAGGCAGCAGCAAAGACTAGTTTTAGCTCTCAACAAGTTTTAAAAGTGTATCTTACCTTTTTTTCCCTAGTTAACTTTTTATTTATTTATTCATGCATATTTTACTAACCACTCCCCTCTCAAATGGAAATATGTGTTTACATAAATGGTGATCAAACTGTTTTGAGACCCACTGAGATAACTCAGACTAAAGTTAATATATCTAAACACTGAGAGAGTCCTTTACCTCACTGAGCTGACGTTATCTGACAGGAGAGGACTTTCCAGTTAGTTGTAGAAACAGCTTCTAATATCCGTTGGCGCAGCAACAACAATCTTGCTCACTCGTGCGCTCTTGCCACACACACGGAGCCGAGCTTGAATGAAAACACCCAGAAGTTGTACTGTACTGTAGCATATCATTTTCAAATCAATAATTTTTCAAATTATACATTTCACATATATATAAAAAAAAAAAATACATTTCTTGGGGTTGCTTAGCAGTTGCTAGGCCAATTGTTGGTGTTGCTGTAGCAACAGCAAACTACCGCCTGGCGCCGCCCCTGGTTGCAGCAGGTATGTTAGGTGTAGTCAGGTGATTTAAATGTATCAATGAAAGGAAGAAGTGTAGGCTACATGATAAGAAGGGAATACAGTTTGAATAAAAGTAATACTGTATTACTTTTTAATGTACAAATACTTTGTTACTGTACGATATCAATAACAATAATCCACAGCTCCTCTCTGCTCCAGAGGATAACAAAAATTCCAAATAAAAAAATGTTTGGGGGTACCCGAGCAGCACCCTGCCAAGTCAGTAAACCTAGGGGAAACACTGATCTGTCTTGTGTGGTACAGCGGGTTTGTAGTTATCCCTAGAAGTTCAGAGAGCAGATGTGATTTCAGAAAGTGTTGGAGCGGTTGGAAGAGAGAAGAGTTGCACCCACAGCACGCTCTATTCTAAATTTGGATTTGGCATGTTTGCAGAAGGTGAAATGATAGCTCTGCAACCAAAAGGAAGTGCAGCCTGTATCAGCCGTCTATCATTTGTGAAACCGCCTTGGATTCCAAACTTCCCTCTGTGCTGTAATATATTGTGCGAGCATAGTTTGTTTTTCTGGTTGCAACAGTGATTTGTTGAAGTTCCCTCTTCTGGAGAGAATGGAATCACACAACAGACTGGAAGTCACATGAAGAAGTATATCTCAACATACAATTACAACACATTTCTTGTTTGCTATCGACGCCAGCCATGACAGGTGTTTGAACAGCACCATGTAGACCTGAGGAGTTATGTAACAGTTGAAATACAGGGTGGTGAAGAGGATCACTGCATACCTTTTACAAAGCCTCACGTTTTGACAAGTTAATGCCACGATTAGAGTATAGTGACAGTGATGTTTCTTTTGCTGTTCACAGTATTTCATGGATAATAACAGACACTGTTCATTAGGGGTCGATATTCCGCATTTGACCGGTTATCGGTATCGGCCTTTTTTTATCAAATTGCCGATATTTGGCTCTGATGCGGCCGTTTCTCTGGCTGCAGTCACCACTCTGTGTACACGAGCAATGTCCCGCCCACAGCGCTATCTGATAGGCTATTACTGAAGATTTTCCGGGCGGGAGCCAGAGAGGCGGGACCTTCTCAGATTACAGGCAGGTGCGAAAGAACGCAGACACAGACTGAAGCGAGCAGCAGCGCTGAGCAGCAGAGCCATACATGTGTTAAACCGAAGTTCAATAAACATCCCTATCCCCTATGCTGAAGTTGCAAAAACACCACGATCTTATGATCCAATTCTATCAGTTTCCCAGTTACACAGGGACGCGGGAAGTCAGTCAGAGTTGGGGGTGCGTGCAGCGTCTCGCAGCGGAGTAACTTTGGAGCGGAGGGGGGGGGGGGGGGGAGGGGCTGCGAGTGGAGCCTTGCAGTTTTTCAGGTTGATATGTGAAGCTCATTAGCTAGCCAACATGTATCGAGCAAATGTTTAGCAAAAATATTAGAAGTGAGGCTCCTAGACTAACGTTAGGTCTACTGTAATAGCCTCACTTTTAATAGTTTGCAAAACATTAGCTAGCACTAGTGCTTTGCAGTTGCTAGCAGTTTATTGGGATTTTATGCTAGATAGACAGATATAATAAATGAAGCATTATTGTTAGTTAAGCATGTCAGCCTGCAGCCCTACTTCTTGTCTCTCTAACTCATTGCAGATGGCTGCACTAAAGAAAAGAGCACAGAGAGGAAACCAGTTGTAAGATGTTTAAAAGTTAATTAAACATAATATATGCGTAAATGCATTTCAAAGAAGTTGTGTTGGAGTTTGTGTTCTTCTACATTTTGACACCAAGATTTTCTGATTTTACTGCAAATGTATATCGGTTATCGGTCTCCTTGATTACTAATAATCGGTATCGGCCTTGAAAAAGCCATATCGGTCGATCCCTACTGTTCATATTCGACCAGACTTCCATGTTAATCTGGAGGATCTCCAGGCCATGGCTGCAGATTCTGGCCAGACGAACTGTAGCCACGGGCAATATTTATGAGCAAATATCTGGTAAAGTTCCCAGCCTGGATTCTGGGGTTCGCCCTGCAGCTTCATTGAGTTGGGGAAGGCACATAAACAAACACAAGCTCAGTGCTTTGCCATAAAAAAGTGTGTTTGTTTATTTAACAAACACAGTGACTTGTGTTTATTGCCTGAAATGCACTGCTGCCTAATTGTATGACTGCATAATAACCATGACGTGGAAATATATCACTAATACCTTTTGAAAGGGCTGTACAACATGGAAAAATAACTTAATTGCAATTATCATAATGACTTGATTACTGGGTATTAAAGTCAGTTTTAACAGAAGCAATGCTGTGTCTGCTTGAGGTTGCTGTGTTTGCCTGTTTAAATGAGTGTCTGTCTCTTCAGTAACCAGCCCTTCTCCGTCCCACAGCTTTCAGTTTGGATGCGGAGCAGCCAGACTACGACCTGGATTCAGAGGACGAGACGTTTGTGAATAAGCTGAAGAAGAAAATGGAAATCACAGCCCTACAGTTTGAGGAAATGATAGACCGCCTGGAGAAAGGCAGCGGACAGCAGGTATTTATCAGTCTGTGTGGGAAGAAAACACTTGTTTGCATGTTGTTTGCATCTCTGGCTTTACTTACACAGACTGAAATACTGGTTCTCACCCTGTCATTTAGTAAATCCAAAGGTGGGTCGTAGCCTTGATCTTTGGTTTCATAAATAGTTTCTAATACTTTTTACACAACAAGGTATTGCATTCTCTGAATACTCAAAATCATACATCTGTCAAACTTAGAAGTATAATGGCGCGTTTCCACTGCAGGCCTCGCTCGGCCTGGTTAGGCCTTATTAGGCCCGGCTCACTTTAATGCTGCGCTTCCATTACAGTTTAGGAACTGGGGTAGTTACTATAGTAACGCAGTGTAGGCGGAGCCGTGACGTCATCTTCAATGAGAGCCCCAGAAAAACAACACAGCCGTTAGCTGTTAGCACTCCGAGCTCACAGCTCTTCATATCTGTTCAGAAGCTAGACACAAGTTAAACAAGTACAAACCACAGACTGTCTGTGTCATGGAGAATACAGTCGCTGGTTCATTTATGTCTGTATAGGCCGTTGTTGTGAGTGTGGACGGTCGGAGCATATATAACGTTAGCTTAGCCAAGCTACATTTAGAAAACACGCATTTTAAAAGGGTTGTTCGCCTGCCGTCTGTCTGCAGACTTATCAAAGCATTAATTCATGGTTTTTACTAACCGGTATCAGTATGTTGTTACTTCGGCATCATTTTGAAACATGTATTACAATTAATTCACGGTCAAATATGTTCATCTTGTTGTAGTTGTAGCCCCCTTGCCAGCGATTCTCTCTCTAGTTTAGCATACTCAGCCCGACTCAGCCTGGTTGTTCCTGGCCCTAGAACCACGATTTTATGGGGCCAGAAAAACTGTGAATTAGGACCCACTAGCCGGTACTAGGCCAAGTGGAAACAAAACCAAAAACGGGCCCCGCATGGCTCGGCACGCTTAAAGCGAGCTACTCGCTGCAGTGGAAACGCGCCATAAGTTTACTAGACTTGCTAAAAATCTGTGTTTGTCATGTTCATTGCTGTTAAATGGACTTAAACTTGCTTAAAACACCTGGTTTCTTCCCTGGTTTGGTCTCACTGTATTCTTCTCCATGCATCCCAAGAGGACGTGTTACATTTGAATCGCACTGACTCTGTCTCTCTTCTGTTGCCCCGCAGCTCGTCAGTCTCCAGGAGGCCAAGCTGCTGCTGAAGGAGGACGATGAGCTGATCAAGGAGGTGTTCGACTACTGGAGCCGCAAGAGGAAAACCTGCACGGGGGGGTCCCTCATCCCCACCTGCAAGGGGGAGAAGAGGGACGGCTCTAGCACCAGCGACCCCTACGTGGCCTTCCGCCGACGGACGGAGAAGATGCAGACCAGGAAGGTAGGAATCCCTACATTTGAGCTTGTATGGGTTCTCGCACCACTACATTGGATAGTCATTATTACACTGAAATCACAGTTCTAAGAAGCACTCTATAACTTCCTTTCTGTTTCCAGAATCGAAAGAACGACGAGGCATCGTATGAGAAGATGCTGAAGCTGCGCAGGGACCTGAGCCGAGCGGTCACCATCCTGGAGATGATCAAGAGGAGGGAGAAGAGCGAGAGGGAACTGCTGCACCTCACACTGGAGATCGTGGAGAAGAGGTAAGAAAGACCAGCAAGAGTTGTTTTTTGGAGTTGTCTGCGAGAAGCTGATATTTGGGGGTCTTTTCTCTTGGATTTATGATAAAGGCATGCTTCACTTACTTGATGAGACCGATGCTTCATATAAGATACATTATTATATCATATCCTGTCATTCTTTGGCAATGTTTTCTGGTGAGGTTTAAAGTGAATTGTGTATCTCCTGGTGAGTGTCAGACCTGCGGTGTTTTGACTTGTGTGGTTAACCTTCATGTTTGATCAAGGTTTTGTTTAATCGTTAATAAGTTGGAATCCCAAGTGGAGGTCATTAGGAAACGTGTCTGCCAAGATTGGTGCTGTAAAGAAGTCAACAGCCCTTTTTCTGTATCGTCAGGCTTCGCTGCATGTGTTAATTGGGGGCGCAGTTATGTACAACGCCTTATCCATTTAAAGCTCACGTTATTTATTCAGCAGTGTCAGGAGCAAATGAGCTTATTGACTTCTCTGTGTGGATCTTTTCACGAAGTACGCTAGACTGTATGTTAGTATTATTTTGTGTTTCCATTCATTCTTTTCTTACCCAAGCTCCGCTTTGAGTTGTTCTTTGTTTCCCCTGTGGAGCCTTTGTGTTCAATCTTAACATGACATGCGAATGGAATGAATTTGCTCTGAAAGTAGCTGTCACTGTGAGCTTAAATTGGACCCTTCTCCTTGAAGTGCTTTTGATTTGTAGTGACATTTCAATTTCCTCTTGTTATCCCGGCCTGGTTTCTGCCCGTGCATCACTGCCAGCGTTCACTCCCAGATTGGACCTCTCCACTCTCAATAGATGGCTTCCCCGGCCCACTTCATGATATTATGCCGGCATAGAGAATGTGTAGTCTGACAGGAAGTAGTGGTTTTAGGCTGCTCCTGTGTACTGATGTTAAGGCTGTTTTTTGTGCTGGTCATGGCTGTATGCAGTGGAAAGTTATGCTTAAACCTACAATCATGTTGCTAAGTCCTGCAGTTGATTTGTAAACATCAGCTACCAACGCCTCTACCTTTTCTTTCTTTCTTCAGGAATGTAATGCCAGACTATGGCAGTGAGGTGATGGCGGAGGCTCTTGCACAGCGAGCTCTGGTGAAGCCTGTCTACACCATCCCCATCATTCCCCCGTCCAACAGCAACCAGTACAGACACCAGGACCACTTGGACATGAAGGACTACAAGAAGGTAAAACAATCCACATGTGCTTCTTCCTAATAATGTCCAAAATCTATCCTTTCCTCCTCGATTAGCGAGAAAATGTTGACTAATTCAAGTGGCAACTAGGTATGAATTATTTAAAAAGATAACCATGAATGTGTATTTTTCTCTGAAAAAAATGATGCACATTTATTTTTCAAAGGACAATACGTTATAGTGTCAAATGAAAGGCTCTTGAGGGTAGCTAAAAAGACTCGCACTATAACACTTCGGCCTCTTTCACACATGCAGTGCAACACATCATTCGAAGAGCTTTACGTGTGAATGCAAATGTCCGACATTAAACAGACTTTAGCTTCCCAGCTAACTAGTTCAAAGTCAGCATAATGTCAGATTTTTGCTCCCAGGGGAAAATAGTGAATTTCTGTTCCATGAATTAGTCCATGATGTTTCTATCATGAGAAACCTGAAGAAAACAAACAGGGTGGAGAAGAAGGGTCATTTTACACCAATGATTGTTTATTATTGTCAGACAAATGACCCTCTCCTCTGGACATTGTTCAGAGGTCATGCGACAACACCACTGAGTGCGATTAAGGCTGCTTGGTACATATTTAAATATGCTGACTCCTTCAAACTCAAACTAGTTAATGACAAGCCAAGCTGCCATATGTTTCTGCAGTGTAGGACTTCATTACACAGCAGTATGGTGAACTCTGAGACACCTCTTGTCATTAAGACTTCATTAGCTCCAGTGTCCAACAACCCCCTCCTCTCCTCACATTTCCCCTTCTTTTCTGCCTTTTCCTCTACCAGCTGGTTGACTTCTCCCTATTGTTTACCGATGCTTATTTAGCTATACCCCCCCCCCCCCCCCCACTCCCTTCCTTGTGTTGATTTGATGCAGCAGTCCTCCACTGTAGAGTCCCTGCCTCTCTGTTTGCTTTGTCTAAGGCCTGAATGGGATCTGACTAATCCTAGTAGAGTTGGAGTCTGTTCAGTCGGGGAGGGGTTGTCCCGATGGGGAAGTCGGGGTGAACGGTGGCACGGGTGGCTTGAGAAGGGGGGGGGTCAGCCATCTGGCTAGGCAGCAGCATCTGGCACATGCTGCCATCTGCATGTCAATGCCTCTTTTACTCGTGGTTGTTTCTACACACACTAGACGGCCACCAACAGTATTGCATTGCATCTTTAAATGCCTTTCTGATTACGCACACTGCCGTTATAACATTATCACGGTCCCCCCCCACCCCCCCCTTCTCCTTCTCACAGCCGGAGAAGACGGAGGCAATAAGAACCAAGAGGAAATACGAAAAGAAACCCAAGATCCCGCCTCTGTCAGCGCCTCAACATTCAGGACCCTCCGTGTTCAATCCCAAGGACCTCAACCAGTACGATTTCCCCAGCTCAGACGAAGAACCCTTCTCACAGGTAAATTCCTTTCAAGCGCGAGTGTTGTGATGTCATGTTGTTTCAGTTCAGTAATATGAATATTTATATTAAAAAACAGAGGGGTAGGGCTGTAATGCCCCTATGGCTGGCCGATATATCGATATGATATCCTTAGCGTAATATGAGACTAGATATCGTCTTAGATTTCACAATGAGAATACCTCATGGGGACATTGGGTTTCATGAACATTTTAGAATAAAATAAAATATTTGAGAAGAAGAAGTTATAGGAAAACTGTGCAATAAAAGACTTAATAAATAAAATATGATAAAAGTATTCCTAAAAGACATAAGTTAAATTTAAGAATGTGCAGTAAATAAGTAATGCCATTTCCCTGAATTTCTGATGATTTCTCAACATCTCCAATCCCTAAATCACCCAGCATTTTATTTCTTTCATTTTCAAGCAACATTATTTGCATCAATAATATGATTTTTTTTTTTTCTTCCAGCAAATCTTAAAATACAGCTTTGCCAGTGATATGCTCACCTGTGTATACAAATGTGTGGTTTCAAGTCCTTTAATCTTTATTAACTTAAGTTGTTTTCATTGTGTAGATCCATTCAGGTTCTTCAGAGGCAGAGGAGGAGAACGACCCAGATGGCTGCTATGCGTTCAGGAGGAAGGCCGGCTGTCAGTACTACGCTGTGAGTGCCCTCCTGTGACTCCTGGTTCTATTTTTAGTGCCAACAACAACAGCAGCAGGCTGGCCAGACTGGCTGTTAGTCTTCCACTCTGCTGGACCAAACAATGCAATACAAACACGCTCCGTTTGCCAGTGTCTTATTTGTTGCCCTATATTTTAATATGTGACGTCTCGCTGTGTTTTCATATATAACATAACATTTAGCTGGCAATTTTATACATAGTGACTTACAAAAAGTGCTGTTCTTGCATTATATTACATTTTTTGGACTTGTTTTATTATAGTTTTCAATCAAACATTTTTCCCTCCAGTCTCGTCCGGAGCAAAGTGGCAGCTGGCCCTGGGTCAGCCCGTCTGACGGGGGTCTCGGAGACTCTCGCTTCCGTTACTGTCTGACTTCGCTGAACGTGCCGCGGCGATGCATCGGTTTGGCCCGGCGCCGGATGGGCAGAGGAGGAAGGTGAGTTCAGTCCCACTGAGTGCTCCACATAATGCAGAGGTTTGATCAGGGAGGCTTGGATTGTTCCAAAGGTACACAAGCTAAATGGAAGTGGATCACTTCCAATTAGGGATGCACGATAATTATCGGTCCGATATTAGGAATTATGACGTCATCCCGATAAACCCGATACCAGTATTAATAGCCCCGATAATATACAATATATGTTTTGGGTAAAAAAAAAAGAAAAAATACTGCGGTGTGGGTGGGTTGGGATGAGGGGCGCTTGTTTTTCCCTCGGCTCCTCCCGTTTTGCCAGTACTGTGGTATTAGTGGTTTAGGAAGAGGGGAGTTCTTCACAAATCCAGCGCTCCCTAACTCAGTGCCTGGCTGTGACGTAAATGGTGTGCGGCCGTGAAGCCAGGACAGTAAACAAACATGTCGTCGGTGGTATGGGCGTTGGAGCTATGTGCAACTCAAGGCATATGCTCGAACCGGAGCTGCGTGGACGCTGCAATCATGTTGCGCACTATCCGTGCTGAGTATGCTGACTTTTCGTACAATGTCCCACTGTCTGGCTTCATGCATAAAGTCAAGTGCTCGGCGCAGTTGTGGCGAAATGTCGGTCCTCTGTTTTCATTTAAACAGCTCCTTATATCCGTTAGCGCAGCTAGCTAGCACCAGATGCTAACAACAATGCACGTAAGGTCTCTCGCTCGCTCGGGCCACACATACACACACCCTCCCGGTCCTCCAGGTGGCCAGTCGGTGCCTTTATATATACAGTCTATGGTCGGTGCCTGCCGGTGAGCGTGGAAGTGTGGAAGTGTGCTGATGCTGTTAGCATCAGCTTGTAGATGGTATTTTAAACTCGATGCGCTCTGAAACTACGGGGCGGCCAAGGAAAAAAAAATACATTAGTGGCGTACATTTTTGTTATCGGTCTTGAGAAGCAGGAAGTTATCGGTATCGGTTTCAAAAAACCAATATCGTGCATCCCTACTTCCAATACATTTAAATAAATCAGAAAAATATGCATAACCTCATATTTTGAGAAAATTGTAATCCTGTTGCCTAGGGCTGCACGATTAATTGGAATTTTATCAAATGTCCATAATTGAATAGTGCCATATTCAAATTGAAGTAGCGTTAGGGTTATATACCCTTGTCCATCTACTTTGCATTTATTCTAAGTGATTGTAACTGGGAAATTCTGGTATAAAACGAAGTCTGATAAAATGTTGAAAATTGTAATTGAAGAGTGCAGGAATGCTGCCAGTGCCAATATTGAGCGGGGGGGAAATGGAGCCAAGTGTTGGCAGTAGCTGCTGGGGCTGTTTACCATACCGGCTCTTTGGCAGGTGACCAGCGTTCATTCGGCGGGCTCATTGTATTATGAATATCAAGCTGGCTGCTAAAACGATAAACATGAGAGTCCCTTTTGGGGGATTCGCCCGCCACTGTGGCCTGTCGACGAATCAGGAAACTAAGAGACGGGTTCAAACAGCAGCATGTCCTTCAGCTCTGTCTCCTATCTCCTGAGTAATTACACACACGAGTGAATTAAACACTGACTGGAGGAGTGGTCCAGGTGATGTTAGGGGGGATCTGTTTCACTGACTCATGAGATTAGCAATAGCATGTTGTGCGTGTGGAAAATATGTGATCTTGTATCTTTGTTTATGCACAAAAGCAGTGTAACCTGTTGGCATGAAATCCAAAATTGTCACTATTACAATTTCTTCAACAATATGACTTTTGCTCTCATAACAACCCGCAAGCGGAATTTCTGGAGTTTAATTATGATATCCGCGTATCTGTAAACCTTCCGTTTTATGCAATACCCAGCTGTATTCAGTACTAGCCAAAGGCACATTGTAATTACATGAATGGTATGCAAGGAATATCCACTCTTGTGCAATCCCTCAAAATAAGTAAAGGATGTTGGCGCTGTAATGACCTGCTAATGACTGCAGGATGTTTCCCCTTCCATCTGACCTCAGATCCCTGTTGAACAGCTCTCTGATGTGCACGTTTGTTTCTGTTTCAGGGTCTTGTTGGACCGAGCGCACACAGAACTAGACGCCGTCTGTCAGAGTTTGGACTCCGACCCGGAGCCCGAGCCGCTCTCCTCTCCACTTCCACGCTCTCCACTCCGCAACTCCAACGGCAGTACCTCAGAAACCAATACCTCGCACCCCACCAGCTCCTCCCACCCCCCCGCCTCTTCATCGCCATCATCGCCAGCCCCTATGGACCTCAGCCAGATTATTTTGAACATTAAATCCAGCCGCTGGAGGCACTTCAGACCACGGACGCTATCCCATCACCCCTCGGGTGGAGGAGACTTGTCTCGCAGAGGATTTAGGGATTTTAGCCGCACGGTGTCAGCACTAACCCGGACTCTGTCGGGAGGAACCAACTCCCGGACCCGCCCCGGACCCCCACCCCCCCCCATCAACGGTGAGTCACATGTTTTCTCTGCCATGCTGTGCGCTGTTCTGGCATTTTACATCTTAAAAGTTGTTTAACATTTAATTTACTAGTAGTAGTTCCATTTTAGAACATACAATTATCAGGGTTCGTACGGGTGCTTGAAATCCTTGAAAATGCTTGAAATTTGACGTGGTGTTTTCAAGGTTGGGAAAGTGCTTAAATTTTGGGAATGGTGCTTGAAATTGAGATAAAGTGCTTGAAAATGTAAATGCTTTACTTTTACAATAAATTGCTGTCTGACTGAATAGTTCGCTTTTTAGATTAAAAGAAAATAATTGCTTCGCTTCTACATAAAACAGCTCCGCTGCGCGCGACCTGCAAGTGTTTGTGTTACGTGTGACCTGGGCATTCTGGTGAGAGTGATAGATGACTGTGTGCCAGTATGGGGGTTATTCCCTATCTTTATTCAAGAGCGTGGTATTTAAATTTGAGAGCATACTTTATGTATGTATTTCCCTCAAACCCTGTCCTCGCACTCAAACAGTGCCTGCTTGCACTTAGATCTGCTTCTGCTCAAACTGTACGCTTGCACTCAGATATATTGCTGCTTACAGATTTCCTGTGTTCCAGCTTAAAACCTTCTCCTCGCACTCAGGCTGTTTCTGTGCGCTCGTGACATTTCTGCTCTCAGATTTATTCTGTGCGCGCTCGAAACTTTTGTGCAACAATCCTGTCAAAATCCCTCAACCAATAGGAGGCCAGGTGTCCTTGCGGGTAGTTCGCTTTACTTATTACAGCGTCCCGTAAGGGCAGTTACTCTTTGGTTTATAAACTCCCGCCCTCCACGGCTTTATAACATAAACATAAGCCGGATGACCGTGGAAGAAGGAGCGGTGTGAGTCCAGATAAAATGAGAATTATAATCCACAGCATATCAGGAGAATAATTCCAGGGGTTTCCAGAGTAGAATCGTAGGAGGGGCTGACAGCCTGGTGCAGAGTGGGAGCCAAGTGACCAGCCTGAGCCTACTAGCTGGTTAGCTAGCTTGATAGCCACCGGCTGTAGGCGGCAGGGAGAGACGATGTCAGCGGGGAAGCCGGCTGATCGCAGCGGGATGGGAAGACCCACACGAGCCGCGGAGTTAGGATGGAGTTGGGGTGGAGACAGAAATGTTAGCTCAGCAGACTTCAGGGAGCCGAGGAGCATCTAGGTAGCAGCCTGCTAGGTCCGATAATGCTAGCTAGCTATGGACCGGTGAGCAGGAAAGAGCCAGCAGGTAGGAGATGACAACACAAAGATCTGTGTCGATTCGATATAGAGATGCTGCTATTTTTGCTGATGACTGACGTTTCAAAAGTAGAGAGCCAGACAGGAGAGGTTCTGATCTGGACTAAAGAACAATATTTGGGGCGGAGGAGCGGCGAACAAACAACGCCAGCACCCTCGGCGACCTGGGAAAAATAATCACCTACAATCAGTTAATACAACTAACGAGTGACCGTCAAAATACTCTAGTGGTTTAGTGGTACTTTAGTGGTTGGATGTAGACAACATACTCCAGATCTTGGGTGGCCTCCGACTCAGAATTAGGGGTGCAACAACTAATCGACTTAATCGATTAAAATCGATTACCAAATTGGTTGCCAACTAATTCAGTCGTCGATTCGTTGGTGACGTCATCACATGTGTTTTACGCGCCGTTAAACTCCAACGTTATTGGTCTTTTTATCGGTAGGCTACTGGAGACATTTAAAAAAGATATGTCATGTATTATTGCTACAAAAACATGATATCGCAGTCTTAGTGTCGCCAACTCGTTTCTAATATGTAAAAAGACAAACAAATGCGTCTATGGTGTATTTTCGATCAGACGAGATCTCTCTCCCGTCTGTGTGCGAGGGGGCGGGGCAGTTTACACACACGCAGCTTCTACATGCAGCGGAGCACACTGCGGAGATGGCGGAGAGAACGCGCTCCGAGGTGTGGTTAAACTTTACCCGTCTCGATGCTCGTTGCCAAAGTGCAATAAGAGTTTAGCATGTAACGGCGGTAACACGAGCAATGTGTCTAAACATTTATCAAAAGTGCTCCACATCCAGATGGAGGAATGCACCGGGTTCCACTGTCTTTCTAGCAGCTCTGTAGCCCCATCCACGAGTAACGTTTCCACGTCAGGTGTTATGTATGCTAGCAGCAACACACGGAGTTAACTACATGATACAAACATGGGTTAATGATTAGAGGTAACTGAGTTATTTATTTTGTTAAAGTTTCAGCTATTCTGTTTACAGTTCTGTCATCAGATTATTTCATACGATTTGCTAAAACACTGTTGTTTCTTTTGATGTGAAATATTATTTATTTAATTTAAATAAAAAGCAATGTTAATTTTGTTCAAAATGTGTTTAGTTAATTTAATAATATATGTATTTTTGAATCAAGTATTCATCTTTATTGTCTTCATTGTTAGTTTCCACGTGCCTAAAACAACCTCAAGCTAAATCTAAAAGTTGATGGCTAAATAAGAGCGCTTGAGAAATTGTGCAAGGCATACGTAATAGTCCGAATAGTCGATTAATCGTTTCATTAATCGGTAGATTAATCGATTATCAAATTAGTCGTTTGTTGCAGCCCTACTCAGAATCAGACATGATAACGAAACTACGTTGTACTATCGGCGGAAGCAGCTGTGAGCGATAAGCCAGGTGGAAATATGTTTGTACACTCTGACGTCACGCGCAGCGCCATCTTGCGGAGACGAGCGTATTTAATGGCTGAGAAATAAATCGTTGGACTTGGTGTTGGGGGTTGAACAAAATAAATATTACGCATTGCCAGACGCATATTATCTCCGATTTTAATACTGCAATATCTTAGATAGTGTTGTAGCTATATGATTTCGATTTTACTGGCAATTATAAAAAAATCTTTGCATTTGATCTTTAATGTTTATTTTATTATATTTTGTATTTATTTGAGTGAATATTCACAGTTTAATAATAATTAAAAACCCAAAACTAATAGTTTGTTTTGTGAGTACTAGTACAGTAAAGTTCAAATACAGATTATTTCAGTTCATCGAAATGCTGCACCTTAATGTTTATTTTATTATATTTTGTATTTATTTGAGTGAATACATTATTCACAGTTTAATAATAATTAAAAATATATATATTTTATGTTTTGTGATAATTTTTTCTGTACCGAACCGTGACCTAAAAACCGAGGTACGTACCGAACCGAAATGTTTGTGAGCCGTTACACCCCTACAATTTAGTGTTACTTATTTTTCATTTATTTATGCTTAAGTTTTTCTAGTTTAAACCTGCTGCCAGGTTATCTTTCAGCTTGTTCTTCAATGTGATCTTACTTTTTGCAATGACATTCTGTTATCAACATTTATATAAGCCAGTGTTTCTCAAACTCTTTCACATCAAGGACCACTTAACCAATAAAAAAACACTCGCAGACCACCTAACTCCACAAATATCCAAAATCGCATCGTTTTTCTAGAACAGATTACAAATCGCCTGAAAATGGTACAAACAAGTGGCAGCAAGTGTGATGAAGGTGTTGCGATGGGCTATATCATGCAATCGAAAGTGAAACTTTAGCGCGCTCCATTGCGGAGATATTCCCGCGAGAGTGCGGAAAACTTAAATGTATTTTTTTATTTCTAGGGATGCACGATAATTATCGCCCCGATAATTATCGGTCCGATATTAGGAATTATGACGTCATCCTGATAAACCCGATACCAGTATTAATAGCCCCGATAATATACAATATATTTTTTGGGTAAAAAAAAAGAAAAAAATACTGCGGTGTGGGTGGATTGGGATGAGGGGCGCTTGTTTTTCATTCGGCTCCTCCCGTTTTGCCAGTACTGTGGTATTCGTGGTTTAAGAAGAGGGGAGTTTTTCACAAATCCAGCGCTCCCTAACTCGTGAAGCCCGGACAGTAAACAAACATGTTGTCGGTGGTATGGGCGTTGGAGCTATGTGCAACTCAAGGCATATGCTCGAACGGGAGCTGCGTGGACGCTGCAATCATGTTGCGCACTATCCCTGCTGAGTGTGCTGACTTTTCGTACAATGTCCCACTGTCTGGCTTCCTGCATAAAGTCAAGTGCTCGGCGCAGTTGTGGCGAAATGTCGCTCCTCTGTTTTCATTTAAACAGCTACGTATATCCGTTAGCGCAGCTAGCTAGCACCAGATGCTAACAACAACAATGCACGTAAGGTCTCTCTCTCGCTCGCTCGGGCCACACCCTCCCGGTCCTCCAGATGGCCAGTCGGTGCCTGCCGGTGAGCGTGGAAGTGTGGTCTGCCACAAGCGGGGCTGTCAGCATCAGCTTGTAGATGGTATTTTAAACTCGATGCGCTCTGAAACTACGGGGCGGCCGTGGAAAAAAAAATACACATGCGTTAATCGCGTTAAAATAATTAGTTGCGTACATTTTTGTTGTTATCGGTCTTGAGAAGCAGGAAGGTATCGGTATCAGTTTCAAAAACCCAATATCGTGCATCCCTATTTATTTCAAATGTTACCAATATACTCACGGACCACTAGGGAGCGCTCACGGACCACCAGTGGTCCGCGGACCACACTTTAAGAAGCACTGATATAAGCTAATAACATAACTCTGAATGCTTGCCGCTTTTCACTTTGTCTAAGGTAGATTGCTCGGCTGGTGAATTACACAAGGTTTCTCTTTCATCCCCCGCTACATATCACAATACATTAGTTCCTGCTCCCATGTCATGGTGGAGTCGATTAGAAAAGTTATTTAATGAATAGATTCATGAGGTGTTGGCCTGAGTCTGGGCTGGTGGCTGCAGAATAGGGCACTGGGTGAATATGTGAAACACCATCTATAAGCCTTGATTTCAGCGTAGTTGGTAAAGTTGGATCGATCCAGATTTGCCAGTCCGGTGTACACGTTTAAACAGGTTTAACCATAAGACACAGTGAGTAAAAATGAACAGTGTCATGGCACTCAAGCCAACTGTAATCGCAATTGTGTCTTTAAATATTCCATTTTGATGAAGTGGTCACTGCTTGATGAGTATTGTGTATCTGATACATGTTTGTATTTATTGACAAAACATCTTCAAACTAGTTATACGTGGCGGTCTGCAAAAGGTCTCCAGGGAAAAGAGGAGACCTTATTTGAGTTTTTCATGTTAGTGATCAATGCCTGTATTTGTAGAAGAAATGCATATTGCTGCATGGAGGGCTATTCCAGTCATTAAAGTGGAATGAGGTTGAAGACATTGATTATTTGTTGAGGATTAAGCCCACAGCATGGAGGTATGAGTGGGTGTTGCTTTCTTTTTCATTCATCTCTGGATTAAACTCACTGATTTGGGAATGTATCCTTCCTTTCCCCCCTCAGTTGGAGTAGGTGTTATTCTCTGTAAAGGCCTCTCTGATGCATTGTCAGGGGGTCTTAAAAAGTATTAAAAGTTGATGAATCAATTCAGCGAAAATTAAGGCTATTAAAAAGTATTAAACGGCATTTTCCAAGGTATTACATTTTGTAGCTTGTTTTCAATAAGTATATAAATGGTCCAAAGAGGTTGTATTCTACAGTCTGCCTGAATGTAATCATGGCGTAGGTGTGTAGTGTGATTCTGTGTAGTTTATTTATGGCATCCCGTTCGATTTGACGTCATCTGAACAGGACATCGCACGCTCACTGCTTGATAGCGCGCAGAGGTCCGTTTACGCCGGTTGTTAAACAACATCGTTATGGGGAAATGCAAGCTTCCAAATGGTTGGAAGATAAGGAGGAAGGACAATCAATACTGTATATAGTCGATGTGAGGTCAAGTGTGTCGCCAATAGGGATGGGTATCATTTGAAATGTATCGATTCCGGTTCTTATCGATTCCCCGTTTCGAAAAAATAAAATAAAAATATGGCTTAGTGCAGAATTATAACCTTAAGACTAACTAGTCTAGTATTAATGCAATGAACAACAGCAGCTTAACATAACATGAATAAACAAAGTATTATATTACCATCTTACTGGAGTAACACAATTCAATAGTAATCAGCAGCGTACCACTTATTTTTGTTATTCTACAGTATTGTTGTTTTATAGTTATTTGTTAATGTAACCCAATTTGTGTTCTTTGAAATTGAAAAGGATATCGCATTGTGTTTGTTACTTTCGTTGCAGTTGTATATGTCTTAAGTGTAATTTGTCTTTGCTTCCCATTTGTGGACATGCTTTTATTTTGAAGGAGAGTTAGCGCTGTTGACAGGAAGTTGTTGTTGCTTTGGAAACAACGTGACGGAGATTAACGGAGAAAAGTAATATCTACATATAAAGACGGAGAAAGTAAACGATAACGTTTATGGTTAAGTGTTAGCACCCCCCGAAGAGGCACAAGCTCTTACGTTGATATGGGAGATTTCAATAAATTCAATTTGGGAAAAAAACGGGGGGGGAAATGAAAAAACAAACAATCGTATCAGATTGGTCGTGTTGAACGTAGCTCTGTTCTTTCCACCACGCGGAACATCCTTCTTGCAAACATTGCATCTGGCTGTTACACTGCCTTCACTTTCAATTTTATAATACTTCCAAACTCCTGACATTTGCTCTGTCCCGACTCCCGAGTCACCAGCTGAACGTAGCCTCTCGTTAGCTTACTGCTACTATTAGACACTGCGCCCACTCTGTTGCTTTGAGAGAAATAAGCAACCAAGTCTGAAAACAAGCCCAAAAGAAGCAACACATACATGATGTTGTGTCATTTTAAACCAAAACTAAGGCCTCAGGATGACTTTAAGAAGTGAACATGGTCATTTTTGTTTTGTAACATTAAATAAAATAATTGTTTTAAGGATTCCCGATCCCCGATCTTTTTCTCCTGATTCCGATCTTTTAAAAATCACGTGATCGGCTCCGATCCCCGATCACGTGATCGGATCGGGACATCTCTATACTGGACATGTAAGGTCCGGATTTCGATTGGGTACTATATAGGGATGGGTATCGTTTGAAATGTATCGATTCCGATTCCGGTTCTTATCGATTCCGATTCCGGTTCTGCTTATCGATTCCGGTTCTTATCGATTCCCCGTGTCGATTCCAAAATGGTAAAAGAAAGAAGTCAAACGTTTAGATAACAAAAATATCTTTATTCTTTTAAGCTTTAACTGACATTTTTACAAATAAAAAATATACATGCAATACAAATGTATTGCACAATAGCTGTGCTTTACTTTAACTGAGCTATGCCTGTGGCGAGCTATTAACAGGCATTACACTGTGCCTTGTCTTTTTCTTTCTTAGTTTAGTGGAGCCTCACTTTAGAGCGTTTACCATGATCCATCTTTGGTGTTATGAAGTGACTGAGCTCGTGAACTGTCTATGGGAGGGCGGGGGGAGCCTCGCTGCGGGGCAACTGTGGACCTCTGTCGCCTGTCAGTGCAACTTACATGATGCCGTTTAAAAAAATGAAGGGCTGTGCCGGCTGTCAACGGCCTGCTGACGGCCTGCCGTTCTGTGATTCTCCAGAACACACAGATGGCCAGTCCGCCCTTACCTTGTATTCCACCGGGTCACCGCGGCGCAGACGGACCCGGTGGAATACAGGGTCTACCGCGTTTAGGAACCGTTAAGCAGAACCAAAATGGTGTATTTTGTATGAGTACCCGGCATTTTCTTAACGGTTCTCACCTGGAACCGAGTTTCGGTTCCCAACCCTAGTAATATATGATCATGCCATAGTAGGAACATTGCTGCAAATGATAAGATGAATGCTATGCTACTTCAGTACCAAACCAACACTTTTTACAAGATACGTTTTTTTTTATCAATAACACCGGTGACAGTTGTTTTAAGTTATAATATTTGCACAATGTCTGTACAGATGTGCACTTTTAGCTTTATTTAAAGTGTTTTGTCTTTACAGATTTATGATTAAGTAAAATACTCTGTCAAAAGATGGTTTTACTTCATTGGTTATGTTTTTTGTGACGCAACCAGTTTTTGAATGCAACACACGGTTTTAACCCACAGGTAGAAGAACCTGTAGCTTGAACCACTATGCAAATTCAGAAAAAAGCGTTACAATGTGGCCTCAGGAGGATAAGCTGTGTGTGTTTTGATAAGCCTCAAACTGGACTTTCAAGCTTGTGATCATTTAGTTTACCTTGAACCCTGGAGCATCACGCCCACATCTCCAGACACTTGTGTGGTTGTGTTCTCTCTGTGAAAGCATTCCTTCACATACATTCATTTCTGTCAGTTTCTCAGAACATTGAGGCATACATATTGCATGCATACAAATCTTTGTTTGCCGTTCACAATTCATACAAATCCAAACCCTTTCTGTTATATCTGCTCTCTGTGCACACTGCTCTGGATGAATCTCTGCTAAATGCAAAGTAAACTGAATGAACCCCTCGGTAAGAGATGTCAGAGTTGTGGTTGTGACCGGTGTGTTTGTCTCTCCTGTGCTCAGTGTTCACAGCGGAGCAGTACCAGCAGCACCAGGAGCAGCTGGCCCTCATGCAGAAACAGCAGCTGGAGCAGAGCCAACAGCAGCAAGCCAACAACCCTGCAGTCCCAACACACAACACACAGGTCAGTGAGGACACACACACACACACACACACACACACACACACCTGGGAGCACCGGAACACACCTCTGCATCCCCTGAGTTGAACTTTTAAACAGATCAATATCAAATGTTATGGGTGTAAAACTACTGAGAGGAAGAGGGTGTTATTTTAGTCAGCTGGTTGTCATTTTGTGCACTTCTTACATGCTTTTATTGCCAAAAATAAGGTAATAGGAGCTTGCATAGATTTCTCCACAGAGTGGTGCAGGAATGAGTCCTAAAACCAGGAAATGAGTCGGCATATTAGCACTGCCATGGTGCTTTATGGGCTTTTTGATTTGATCTTTCTCCCGGAAAAAAAGTTCTGCTGTTAACACGAGCTGAAGAAATGTTGTTTTACAACATAAAATATGTCGGTTAACACCTCACTGGTGCAATTAACATTTGTTATCAAGTGACTCAATAGCCGCGTTCACACTGGAGTACTTTTCCCACAATAGTTCACCAGAACTACGATATATTTGCGTTCACACCAAAAAGTCCCAGGAACTAAATTAATTCATGAGAACCTTTTTACCCCCTTTTCCGTCCCTGCTAGAGAGCAGGTACTTTCGTGGGAGAAAAAGGTTCCTATGTCTGATTGGCTGGGCGCATTGCAAACCACGCCCCGTAAAACTCCCAAAAAGTTTTGTGAAGCCGCCATTTTATTATCCTCGCATTCCATTATTAGCATTAGCCCAGCGCAGAAACGCAGAGAGACTAAAACATGGGAGCGGTGGAGATGAGGAGGTGTCGGCGTTCTGGCGATTTACTCGGAAGGCTTCAGTAGAAGCTGCTGGGAGTCCCAGCAGCTTCTACTGAAGCCAGTCCCCAACTCCGGGGACTTCTGGCCGGGGACTTTGGGCGGCAGTATACGCCGTGAAGTGGTTTGCGGCCTGCCAGTAAACCCAAAGCAGAAGAAGAAGAAGTGACGTCAGCGGCTTCATTTGCCTAATCCTCCCCCAGGGATTTATTCCGGTGTGAACGCGATCTGTACTTAGTTCATGAGAACTAAAGAGTTCTGATGAATTAAAGTGGGAAAAGTACTGCGGTGTGAACGCGCCTCATGACACTACTCGACGTCATCATGCCGATCATTAGCCACCTTTAGCTTAGCGGTGGTGACATAAAGTAATGAGACTGATGTAGTTCTGATGTAGTTATAGCCAAATATTAGCTGGTTCCTTCTGGTGATTTCATTTAAGATTCAAATATCATTAAAGTATTCTTAATTTGTTGCGATTATCCTGATATACAGAGGTTAATTTCTGCGATATTCCAAAATCCAATCAAAAAAACAAATCCCACTGCTTTGGCATCCTACAAACATACGTCATCACTGCAGCACTCTATATGGAAATATTTCCCAGGTCAGTTCAGCCTTCCTAAGGAAAAGGGACGCATCCTCATTCCCACGAGCATTGTTAATACCATTGGCTTACTTCCTGTCTGGCAGCAGAGGTGCTGACTCTGCAGTTTGTATACATTGTAACGGAGCGTTAAACGTTGGCCCACTCTCACATGTTGCCTCTCCGGTCTCCAGGCTCTCGTGTCCAAGACGTTGGACCAGGCCAGCGCTCAGTTTGCTGCGTCGGCGCTCATCACCACCAACCAGCTGCTCACCTTCAAGTCCAAAGAGGAGCTGGTTCTGGGGGGCGGGGTCAACGGGGTCATGGCGGGGGCAGGTAGGAGACCCTAAATGTTACCTGGTCTATGTCCCGCAGGACAAAGATGTGATAGAAGCATGCTCTGGATTCATCTTGAATTTTTGTATTTACATTTCCATCATTTTCTCTCTCTGCAGGTGTTTTCAAGGGCTTGCATCTCTCCGGCCCCCCCGCCGCCCTCCACCAGACCACCCAGTCTCCCCGCACCCCCCCCTCCATGGCCCCCGCCTTCCTGCAGCCCTCCTCCAACTCGGCGTCCCCGGCCGTCCCCACCTCCCTCACCTCCACCTCCACCCCCGGCGCCCACGCAGCAGCCGCGCTGGGGATTCTGGGATGCAGCGCCGCCAACGCCACCCCCGCCACCACTCAGGTCCTCATCGGGAACAACATCTGTCTGAGCGGGCGCCACATCCCCCGGACCCTCGGCCCCGTGCCATCCTCTGCCTTAAAGCTGTCGGCCTCCACCAACCTGACCATGCCCAAAGTCTCCGGGGCGGCGGCCATGGAGCTGGGCTCGAGGTGAGGGGAACACAGGTAGCATTTTCTCACAATCATTGGTATAAAATATCATTCATAGTCTTTCAAATACTTGGGAGACTACGGGAAAATATATGAATTTGTTGAACTGCATTTTTTTATTATTTGACAAACCCTTTACGCATTACCACCATGCAGATCCGGATAGCTCAGACATTTCAAAAAAAGTCTTAAAGTCTTGAATCTATGTGAACAAACACCAGTGTGACATTACTCTCGAATAAATGACAAAAGAAGATATATCTTTGTTTTGCATTACTTCGTACTGATGCAGAATAAACAGATGTGCGGCCACAAGCGGTAATAATCAGCCGAACCAAAGCTGCCGCACTAAGTGGGCGATCAGACGAGAGTTCCAGACACCACAGAAAAACACCCATTAATATATAAATACATAAAAAGCAGGAATGTGTTTAAATATGCAACAGAAGATAACTTTATTGTAAGTGTGTCCCTCTTGTTGTAGCAGTGTTGGATTACTTATTGTTTGTGTGTGGATAAGTGAGTTAAGCCTCTGCATCCCTGGGTTCAGTCTAAATAAGCCGACGCAGAGTCTGCCAAAGAGAAATGTGAATCCACATAAATCCGTTTGAAAGAAGAAATGAATGTTCCTTTAGAGATCACTGACTGATACACAGGACCGTTACAGATACCTCGTTAGTAAAGTGAAAACAGAAGGACATCAGCGTTAAACTCTGCCTACCTACCTTCTCCTAATATCTTATTAATACTATTTTACCGTTGTTTATACTGTAATGTACATATTAAATATTGCAGTACAATAAATATATATAATTGTTTTACATAATTATTTTCATCTTTTATTGGACAACTGACTTTAACTTGTGTTAATGTACATATCTTAATTTTATTTTAACTTTATGAACTTTTATAACTTATATTTAAATAAATATATATTTTTGAAATGTATTTATATTTTTAATGCACATTGTATACTATTTTTAAAATATATATTTATTGGGCATTTTACTCTATTAACTTTTGTTTCTATAAACTATATAATGACTAAATAAATATATTATGTTTTCTTATTTTGCACATTCTGGCTCCCACCTATGAATATATGTTGGTATTCTGAATGAACCCTGACTGAGATGTTAATGCCCCTCTTCCTCTGTCCTCAGGGATAATCACGACGAGGAGAAGCCAGCACTGAACAGTATAGCAGACAACACAGTGGCCATGGAGGTGACGTAGTAGCGGGGGGGGGTCCCCTCTTTAGGTGCTGTGCATCGTAGCATCGGGAATGCAAAGGGACAGCAGGACTCTGATGCAGACTGACAGAATGATCCTCATCTCGCATACTTTTTCAACCTTTTATTTTTTTTTGTTAAAAGTAAAAAGATCAACTTGTAAATTATGAATATGGCAAAATTAGTATCTGTACAGTAACTACATATTTGTAATATCCCCCTTGTATATATTACTTGAATACAGAACTGTCCATTTGTGATGTTTTGCACTTGGGAAAAAAAAGAAAGCCAAGTAACCTGTGGCAGTGAGAGGCGTGTATAGACAAGAGTTTTATCATCATGTGCATGGTGCGGAGCCTGCTGCTTTTATCTATTTATTGTGCTGTGTTTACAGTTTCTTTATTTTGCTTTGTTCTGTTTTTTATTTGTACACTGTACCTTTGTTGGTTCCTGTGCTGTAGTAAATGTTAGGTAGCTACGGACTCCTGGGTATTTTGTATATTGTGAACACAAAGCAGGTTCCCCCCCCCCCCCCCCCACACATTTATTTCTGGTCCCTGTGCTTCTCTCTGTGGATCATGTGAAAATAAATGGTGACATACGGACCGGAGTCCAGGAGAAGGAGGAAGAGGAGGAGGAAGATGAGGCGCCCCTCTTCCTGGAGCTTCCATTAACATCGTCCCAAACACAAGTAACAAAACAGGGATGAAGTCTCTTCCCAGAAGCCTTTGCTGCTTCTGATTAAAGCACTATTTTTTGTGATGTTTTCGTTCATGGTTTTGATAAATATTAATGCTGCTTTTGTATTTTTGTTTTTTTAAAAGGGGTTGTTCTTCATTTTCATGCAACCTTTTATATTTGTTTTATCACAGACATTTTTTTTGTAAAACAAAAATTCAGTTATTTTTGTATTTTTATTTTGTTCTTGTGGTAAACTTGATTGTAAGCTTTCCGTTAATTGAAAGACTTCATTCTTTTGTTAATTTGTTACTTGTTCATGCATAGGTGATAAGGGAGGTGAATGGGCAGTTATTGCTGTACGTGTTTCATCATTCCATTTTTTAATAACAAAAAATGCTAATGAGGGGCAGGGGGTGGGAAGAACGGCAGTTCTCTCCACTCTCTCTTCCCCTTTTTCTTTATTTTCTTTGAAAAAATAATCTCCAGACGGCTGCAAGGCCAAAAACCACAAGTATTGGGTGCCTTCCTTTGGGGAATTTAATGTACTCTCTTCTGTGAAGAGTTAGGCACAAAGGCAGCATTACTTAGTAGTGCTTCTCGTCTTTGTCACAATCTGAATGCCCAGTCCAATGGCAGGATTTATCCTTGAGGTTTACTTGTCCCACCTGGAGGCTGAAAAACAAAAAAAAATGTGACAGAACTCTCACTAAAATAAGACAATAAAGCCCAGGGCATTAAATGTGAACTGTTTGGACTCTGTGTCATTTATGTACGTTTGAGTGTGTATACGTTTGTTTGTCTGAAAGGATCTGAAAATATAGGTACAAAGTTACCATTCCTGAGATTTCTCCTATCTCCAATGCAATTGGTTTAGAGAGCTCACAGCATTTGAGAAAATATAAGAATAGTCTGACGTTTTTATGAAATACTGTATACTGAATTATATATTATTTCTGTGATTTTGATGAGAAAACACTCTTGCGTCCTTCCTACAAATATTAAGCTATTGCTTAGCTTAGCATAAAGACCAAGTAGGGGGAAATTGCTAGCTGGTTAGGCTAGCTAGCCCAACTTGCAATGTGTTAATGATACACTTTACAAAATAAGCTCATATATGCAGGTTTTAAACATGATAAAAACCAGTTAAAGATATGCAACGGACTCCTATGTTTTCAGTGGGGCTTTTCTGGGGTACCTCAAAAAGGTGAAGGGTTGAAAGTGGTTCCTTCTCTTTAATATCAGTGACTTATTCAGTCTTTCTTCTAAACTCCAAAACCAGCAGAGGTGATTTTCTAATAGGAACCACAAAGACAGTTTTGGCTGTGAAATTTGTATTAAGTGTGTTCCAGAAATCAGCTACTTTTTCCATATAATAAATAATTTTCTATACCCCTGTTGATTTAAATGATTATATATTCATTTCAACGCGTTGCATAAGGCATCGTGCCGGAAAAGGGATGAAAATTAGACCTATATTTCCATCACAGGCGATAAATAGTGTGACTAACAGGTTTTTGGCCCTGGGAATAAATGTTTATTGTAATGTCTCCCATTAAAGACAAGAAGGGGGGCTTCACTGACCTTTTGTGACTGTACTGGTCCTGCTGTACATCTCCCTCCTTTTACACTTTTTTTGGCATCAGTTTCTCAGGGAAAAATAAAAACAGTCACTAATTCCCTGCAGCAGATATCACTTTCCCATCGGGAGCCAAATTACTCCAAAGTTTTCCAATATATCCGAGCTGGAGCGCTGCCAGCTGCAGATCATTTATGTGAGAGGAGAAATCAGTCAGCAGTGAGACAACTGGCCCTTCAAACTATCTGGGTGGGCGTAACTCTCTGCCTTCTCTACAGAGAGAGGTTTTGGTTAGGGAAAAAATAGTTTTCCTCCTCAGCTTTTCTGGGTGTTAACAGAAGCTTTGTGAAGGAAATAAATCACTGATATCCTCTAGGCAAGATAGCTGCAGCTATAACTTATATCTTGGTGTTTTTCCATTAAATTCACTGCACATTTTTTTCCTGGAATGACTGCCTGAAATGGTCACAACTTATTTTTGTTTCTCTCAGCTGTTATTTAGTCTGTAAAGGAAACTTAAGCAAGTGTTTACGGCTCCAGGAATAAAACTTAAGTTGCACAAAACACAATATGTCTCGTACTTTAGGGATAACACGTATTTCTTAATGCTTTAATACCAGAATTCCTATTGCAAGTTTTTTCACTGGGGACTGACTCTTGTCAATTCCTTATTTGGAGTCACATAGTATTTATATATCTGCTTGTACAATCCAAAAATGTCTTCTATTTTGAGACGGAGAGTTTACAAAAGCATATTCAATCAAAAGAAGGGTCGTCTGTGAAATATAGCTCTCACTTTTCCATGCTTCCTCAAATTCATTCTCCTGAAGCCTCACTGAGAAAGAAAAATGTGTCTTATTAAAACTTCCATGTTTACTTTTGGCTTTTACAAACAGTTTCCTCTGCATCCATGACGCATTTCAGGACAAATGCAGACATCTGAAGGAGCTGCAGTGCCAGAAACACGCTGCAGCTGTTGGGCCACCTCTGGATCAGATGTCCAGATCAGGGCTGTGATTGGTCGAGCTCTGTATCTCCTGCGGTGTCAGACAGCAGGTGTGAGGCCGGAGGCGTTGCTGGTGACAAACCCCATGATTCTGTGAAAGAGGAATCCACTTTCCAAGTAATCACAAAATGACGTGCACTGAATAAAGTTAGATCAGGGGTTGGATTGCATGTTGAATTAGATTTCCGAGGCCATGGAAACACTGGAGTCAGTTGGTCGTGGCCATGCTTCTCTCTGCAGAGGAAATTACTCAGACTGAGTGGAAGCAGCAAAGTATATGTAAGTCTCTGACAGTTCTGAGAAACTCAAAGGTGTAGAGGTGCTGCTGGTGCACTAACCACAGTGAGGGGGGGGGGGGTATGCATCTCCTCCTTCAGCCTTAGTAATAGTTATAATAAAATGTATTTGTATGGCACTTTTTGCTTTACATACAATTAAAGGCAAAACAAGTACAACAAATAAATCAGACATAAGAACAACATGTGCTTATTGGCCTTCTTGACAACAATTAGATTTTAAAAATCTGCTGGCAATCTGCAGGTCTGAAATGTTTTAATTTTGTGGGTGGCTATATATTGATTGCAAAAAAAGTGTGATTCTATAGAAGTCTATGAAAAAAAGATTGTAGCCTACTCCTCACTGTAACACCACCGTAATTATTTTCCTAATAAGTGTAATCTCAGTCATTTTCGAATTTTAAAGCAAAATTAAAAATTGTACCCTTTCATAGTGTTTTCAGTTCATGAAAGTTAATTTGAAAATGTTCGGTTGCCTCAAAATGTTCAGTTCTTAGCTCCACCCTCTAGTGTCATTTCTTGTTCCAAAAAATACAAGATGGCGACTGTCAAAAACCAAGATGGCCTCAGCAGACAGCCTTTGCGTACCAAACTGTTCTCTCTCACTGTTTTACAGTTATTATTTAATATCACACGGCTAGAAAAACTGTTAACATTGGTCTCTACTTTATTGCCCTATTGTGACAACTTCCTTATCACATTGACACTGAATTTACTCAGCAATCACAGCCTATAGGCACTTCATAAAGACCAACATGAAACGCTTGATTGGACTACAGAGGCAAATAATGGAAGAAAAGTACATGGGGTGAGAACTAGCAGAGGTAAAGGTACGATTTTTCAGTTTTTTACTTTAAAATAGTGATTCTGTGGGTCGTGCTGCACTGCTGTGATTGTGAAACATCTAATGATAATATTGGTTGGCTAACCTCTGGCACACTCTTCTAAAGCAACACATGAAACCAGAGCATGCTCAGGCTTGCTTATAGTATCTCCTCTTCTGAAGTGTTTATAGCAGCTGCTTGCTTCAGTGTCTGATGCATGCAGAGGCTTTGTCTGAGCATTTTTTTTGCTACAATCAGCTGCAGTGTCAGATGATGGTTTTATCTTCATGTTGTCGCCCTCTGGCTCTCTAAAGGCCCTGACACACCAGGCCGATTTCGGCTGTTTTCGTAAGTCGGGAGACGAAGCGTGTCCTGTCGCCCAAACTCAATTTGGTGTGTCCCGCACCGTCGACCGTGACACGCCTTATTTGGACTGCCTGTCCCGATGCATGGCCGATTCAATATGTTGAATCGGCCATGCATCGGGTCTGGCTGTCGGACCAAACAATCACTCTGATTGGCTGTTCAGCTAGCGAATCAGTGCATGAGAAGTGAAACGGAAGTGAGGGACGTAAACAAACGATTTAAGAAGGCACACACAGACTGAAATTCATTTTCATCTCATCATGGCGATCTGGAATGACGCAAACGAAGACCTGCTCATCCCATTGATCCAGGAGAGGCCAGCTCTGTACGACATCACAGAGAAAAGGTACTCGAACCGAGTAGTGAAAACCGGACTCTGGCGAGAGATTGAAACGCAACTTGGTTTCTCGGGTAAGATTATATTTTTCATCAATTGAGCTCTTTAGCAGATATTGTTGGCTTTTTATTGTTTGCTAGCGTACAGTGACGTTAACGTGAAATGTCATTTGTTATTTCAACCTTGTGTTTTGTTGTTATCTTGTTGCTAGCTGTGCAGTTTGGCACTGCATATAGATATTAATTGGACATGCTAACTAGCCACAATGCTTACATCGTTTATTTGTGTGCTTCAGAGAAAGAGCTGAGGAAGAAGTGTGATTCTCTGCGAACCCAGTGCACCCGGTACAGGAGACTTGCCCCTTCGGGTAGTTGTGGAGCACCAAAGACGGGCAGACAGCAGTGGATCATAACCAGGCTTCAGTTTGCACACACTATTTGTTGTTGTTTATATCACGTCTGTTCTTCTTCTCTGTCTTCCGGTTGTTGCCTATTTTGAATGACGAATACACACTACCGCCGCCTGCTGGTAAGGAGAGTTATTGCCACTCACGCACTGAAGTCTTTGCGGTGTGTTCCCGTGCGACACATGGCCAAGACGCAGGAGAACACCGCGACGCAACAGCCGACGTCGGCGAGTCCTCTGGTGACTGCTTGGTGTGTCAGGGCCTTAAAGAGCCTGTGACACGAGTTTCCCCCATCATCCAAACCCATCAATTTGAGTAAATATTGTCCCCTTGAAAACCGTTACTGCACTGATTTTGGATATTTGTACTTTGATAACCATTCATCTGCCCTTCAATGTTGACCATTTTCTGGATCTTCTCGGGGATTCTTCAAGTCCCGCCAAATGATGTGTGACGTCATTGCGGGCACAGCGCTCCAGCTGCACCGTTCAGGATCCCAGCATCTGCATGTAAACGCACGATGGCGCACACAGCAGCAAGCTCAGACAGCGATGACAGTTTAATTTTTAACGTGTCTGAGAGCTCATATGAGGCTGAAGGATCGCTTTATGTTGTATCTGTTAGAATTTTAGGAATTAGGTGCGTCAATATGGGCGATCATACGGTCATGTATGGGACATGGAATGGGACTAAAAATCAGCCCGGGACTCTCGACCGGCCCACTTCAGTACCGCTAGTAAATTGTCAACGGAGGGGAGTGGGGGATGTGCTAGTGACTTATCCGACCGGCCCACTTCGGTACGGGAGTGGGGGATGTGCTAGTGACTTATCCGACCGGCCCACTTCGGTACCGGCCCATCGGGATTCGTCCCGATGGCCAGTCCGCCACTGCACCCAGCCCAGCCCACGTAAACTGTCAACGGGGGGAGCCTCG